GCGGCGGAGCGCCCGCGCATCGTCGGGTATGCAACCCGCACAGCAGTTACGTTTGGCGGGAACGTGCGGCCCAGCCCCACCTAATCCACCCCGGGTAGCAATACCTTGAGAAATACCTTTCTCAAGGCAGCACTGAATTAAAAATGCATTTAGAGTCCCATCTCAAACGCTATGCACAAAATGCAGAAGTTTCTCGAGACTTGCTCGAGTTTGCTATCTGGGAAACATCACTCGCAACATTATTTTTACTTCAGTGTTTAAAAATATATGGGCGTGTGACGGTGCGGTCAACGGCCACTGTAAAATGTTCAGTTTGAAGATCAAGATGTTAAACAAAGTGGTGAAGACAAACCAACACTACCAGTTAATTGTATTAGATATTTACAGGTAAAATAAATCAGTTTATTACTCTTGAATTAAGCCAACATACAGAAGATGGGTCTTTAAAAAATTTTGGTCCAATAATTCTTAAATTCTTTTCTTCTCCAAAACAAATGTGAAGATTACATTTTATTAATAGTTAAGTATATTGAAGTGACATTGGCAGTGACATTAGCAGTGACAGTACGAATAACAAAGTACGCTCTACACACTAACTCCTTAACAAAACACAGAGTAAAAGCAATTGTAGGTAATTCTATTTTCTTAACAATAGACTTATCATTGATGCATTCCCAAGATAGAGTTTAATACCAGGAAAAGCTCCATCTTGACGTAAAATGGCATCACAACTAAGATTTCCAGATCAGAAGTGGACAAATGAATATCCTGACCATAAGGCACATTGGGGGACTAATTTACAACTAATGAGAAACAGATAAATTGACATATCCCCATTCGGTATGTTTCCAAAACAGAAATTATTCAGTCAAAATCGCATGAAGGGCAAAAAAAAATTAAAAAATAACCCCAGCGGAAACTTTATCACAGAATTCAAAAACAGTTACAACGCTTCAGTCACAGCTCACTATACCTACGAGGCTGATGTATTTCAACCCACTATCATACCCTACAGCTTCTCTAATTTCTCAGCAAATATTAATTAGAATATTCAGGTTGTTTATAGATACAAAAATATAAACACACTTCTAGATTTTTTTATTTTTTTTTAGATTTGTGAAATATCTTGAGAAATCTATGTTTAACTACAAAGGAAAAAAAATTGGCCAAAACATTTTTTTTTTTTTTAACGGGATCGTACAAGCTTTTTACCTTTAGCTGAAGCAGCAGAAATAGTACTCCTTTCCTTGATTGTGGGTAGAGAGGCCAAGGATTTTGAACTTTCTGCCAATAAAAGCCAGTGTTGGACCTGGTTGGAAATTTAGATCATAATAATTAGTAAGAAAATATGATGGCCAAAGTTTCCTTTTTTTTCTACCAGAGGCTGAAAACTGACTTGTTTATGTAGCAATTCTCTGCGTGGTCCTCGTGGTTCTTGAGCTAATAGAGGCATTAGAGTAGCTAAACAAGATTCAAATTTTCCAAGTGCAAGATTGTATTGGCCTTCAGTCATATACATCTCTCCAGTATGACCAATTTCTAAAGCTGTGCACAATTTTTCTGATGTGGTGCACATTTTCACTAAGGAAAGTAAAGGTAACTGTTAAGACAATTTTCATTTTTTGGATCGTGAATAATAAAGGCAACTTGTTTATTCTTACAGAGTTGGCTAAAGGAAGAGTCATTTGTAGATGACCGAGCAGCAGAAGCGGGATCTTTCAATTCTTCAGCTCGTTTAATGTACTCATCAACTTTAGCTCGGAGAGCAGCTTTCTTGGTTTGGTCCATTTCAGCTGTAACATTGAGAATACAAAGTAATATTGGAGTCAAGGGAATTAGGTTGTAAACTTATTAAGCAAATGTGTGGAATACTCAGTAAATCCATACCATTGAGTAAAGGAACAAAATACAACAATGCTTCACAATACAGGTTAAAAGCTTCTCTTTCCTTATGTTCAGCATCAAGTTTCACAGCCCTGGTTACAAGATTAACAGCCTTTTGAAGTGATTCTTCACAAGGAAAATGTTCCAAGTCTAAATAATTATGTTTAAAAAATGTTTCAAAGTCAATTCTCTGTTCAGGATCATGTTTCAGTAACCTTGTCAACAAATCTCTACACTGTGACGAAACAGACGCACATTTAGGAATCTGAAAAAAAGCAGAGATAATAATAAATAATAATAAGCTTAAAATGAATGCTTAGATTAGATAAATTTAATCAGAATGAGGTTTAGAAAGCAAATAAGATTTTATTCAACATTTCACTTTCAAAGTTAAAACAAAAATTAAAAGACTTACATCAATAGGTGCTTTTTGGCGAATCTTGTCACTTAACTCTTGAAATGAATTTGATGAGTATGGTGCTTTACCAAACAAGCACTCATACATTATTACACCAACAGACCAGAGATCAACTCTAGCATCATATTTCCGAGCCAGGAGCATTTCTGGAGCCATGTAAAGAGGGGAACCACGAATGGAATTGTGTTTGTCTTCATCAGATAAGTACTGGGCAAAACCAAAGTCTGTCAAGAAAAATAGCTAAATTTAGTACATTTCCGTATTTTGATAGATAGTTAATAATGTCAACTATGTTTTATACTACCTCCTATTTTCAGAACTTGCTGTTGTCCTAGCAATAAATTTGATGGCTTTAGATCCATATGACAAACATTGTGAGAGCGTAAATACTTTAAAGCAGCAGAGAGTTGCTGCAAAAACCTTCGACAAACTGGTTCAGGGAGGCATCTTCGCTTTTTGATGAAGCCAGACAAATCTCCACCACCACACCACTCCATGATTATGTAAATGCACCTGCATTGAGAGTAAACCAGAATTTGTATTACTAAATTTTTAAAAAAAAATAGCCATTCACTGTGAATGACAAGCAAATCAAAATATGTTGAAGTAGCTTCCTAGAATTAAGGATGACATGTCAACAACAGTGTTTCACAAGTAAACAAGGAGCTAAGAGAGTCTGATTGTTGGTCAATGTGTATTGTGTGTTGCTCGTTGCCTTGGAACCCAAGCCACTCAATATCCCAGCCTACATTCTCCTAAGCTAAGAGCAAAGAGCAAAATGAGTAATATCTTGAGTTCTGAGAGGATAAAATTGAAAACCTTTCACAACCTAGAAAATCGAGTAATTTGGGCAGAACTCGCTCACAGACCAATGACCAATTCTTGTTATAAAATCATATCTTAAACAAGTGTGGCACCAAGCAGAGGCAATGGCCAGAACAACTTTAGGTTTGCATTGTAATTTTCCTTAGTTTTAAGAATTGTGAGTAGGATAAGAGTTATTTTGAAAAGACTAACCTGCCATCATACAAAAAATCTTTCATATTGACAATGTGCGGATGTTTAAGCTTCTTGAGTAGAGAAATTTCAGTAACAATATTGTCCTCAGCTGACTTGGAAAGTCTTTTCTTTTCTACAACTTTAATGGCAACTGCTTCACGACAACCATCCTGAAAATAACAGCAGTTGATTAAAGAAAACTGAACAGAATGGTAAAAGGTTTGTCATCAAAGAACACATGACAATATCTCACCTTCTTGTAGGCTTTGTAGACATTAGAATAACTGCCAGCTCCTATTTTCTCAACAATAACATAACCTTCAACATGTGGAGTCGTCATTGTTTGGTTTTCACCTACGACTCGGTAGCAAATGTGAAGCTTTGATGATTAGATTACATTCTTATAGGTCAGGTTTAAAATTTAAAAAGTAATCAGGTACGAATTACATTCACTATTAACATATGACAAATATGGACAACAGTACCACTGCATTCTCTGTCTCTCTCACTCAGTGTCTCTACTCAATTATCTTTTTTTGAAAGTTTGCGAAGTAAAGGCATATATTTCAGTCGGTATATGACGTTTAGAGTACATCATAGAAGGACTGAATGAAATAGTCAATCCTTCCGTTCAGAATTTTGGAAATGATGAGTTGACAAACCTAAGATTTGTGAAATTGAGAAAAAACAAATTCAGTTTAAAGTTTATTTTGATATGTACCAACTTCACGGAGCACGTTCAAATGAATTAGTAATTTTCTTTCTACGTGACAAATCTGACGAATTTTTAAAATTTCTTCATCTCATTTTTGCTCTCCTATTAATCTGCTGGCACCTCAAATCTATCTTTCAAAAGAAAGCAGATACGATTGGATTGAACTTTTAGTTGTGGTGCAGATGGCTGCCTTGCTTGGGCAGTTGTGACGTCATGTGTTAAAACAGCGCTAGAAACACAGGTGCTGTGTTGCTCTCGCACCCAAATCAAAGTCATTTGTGAATAATATCCCCTTAAAATTGGATTCCAGCGTTTTTTGAGTGGACTAAAGGAAACTTCAAGTCATTGAGTGCTGAGAGTATGGACTCAGAAGACGAAACCCCTTTCGACGATGGTGATTCAGGAAATGAATCTAGTGGGGATGATGTTGACTTTGCAATGGAAGTGGACAGTAACACCACTAAAGAACGACCCCCTGATGTTGACGAATACCCTTTCGAAGTTTTAACCACTGAAGAAATTGTCCAACACATGATAGATTGTATTAAAGAAGTTAACACTGTTGTAGAGGTAAGGAGGTTAAGTATGTCGATGTAAGCCAACCATCAACAAAGACTTGAGACCCGTTTCTTAACCTCTTGAAAAGTGTCAGAGCTGTGACCTTGGTTTTGAATTTTCATTATAAAGGGACCTTTTTCTACCGTAGTGGCTTTTAGCTTTCTGGATACTACTGCTTTTTTCCTCTACGATTCAGTTTGTATTCATTTGTGCATAACCCTTTTCAGTGTTGGGGAACACTGATTAAGTCATTCCTATTTTGAGCAATTTTGAAAAAGTTTGATCATGTTTGCATTTACAAATTATGACTAACTTCTAAAATTATTTCATGGCCTCCCTTGTACAGAGGTTTTTGAATGTTTTCTTTAATGTAGGTCATGAGTCATTGCAATATGTAATCAGGAATGTACTGAGTTTTTGGCCTCTTTGTTTATTAAACTCACCCTCACATTGCTCACTGTCATTTAACTGGTCAATTGAACCCTAAGGTTTCTTGTCCACTGTTCATATATTCTGCCCTGATGTTTACATCAATGTAGTGTACATTATTTGGCTATGATATGACAGCAGACAATGTATGTATTAATGAAAACATTTTATTTACAATATTGTGCTTTAACTTCTAGATTCCTGCCACAACTACTAGAATTCTTTTAAATCACTTCAAATGGGACAAAGAAAAATTAATGGAAAGATTTTATGATACGGATCAAGATCAACTGTTTAGTGAAGCAAGAGTCATTAACCCTTTTAAAAAGGGAGCCGTTATAAGACCAAAGGTAGAGTTGCAGCATTGCTTTGTTCCCTCTGCTCTTGTCATTTGTTTATTGCCCATCATTCATGCTGTCTATTTATCATCAATAGCTACCCAAGAGAACCTCTCCATCTGGCACAGAAGAGTGTGAGATATGTTTCCTGGTGCTGCCTTCAAGTGTAAGTAAATTGTACAATTAATGTAATTGGTTTAAAGAATTAGAGCTGTCACAATTAAATTTAAAAAGTAAAACTAAAATTGGAGTTTTAATATTGTTTTTACAGATGATGACTGGATTAGAATGTGGTCATAGATTCTGCACTCAATGTTGGGGAGGATATCTGACTACAAAAATAATGGAAGAGGGAGTTGGACAGACAATTGCCTGTGCAGCTCATGGCTGTGACATCTTGGTTGATGACGCTACTGTCATGAGACTTGTTAAAGACTCAAAAGTTCGTCTCAAATATCAACACCTAATCACTAACAGTTTTGTTGAGGTAAATTGACATCAGCGTTTAGTAAGTGCGTCTTATGAGATTCTATAGTATAGTTAAAATAATTATCTGCTTTACAGTGCAACAGACTTCTCAGGTGGTGTCCTTCACCAGACTGCAATAATGTTATCAAAGTTCAATACAAGGAGTGCCGCCCAGTCAACTGTAAATGTGGGCATGTCTTCTGTTTCTCATGTGGGGAGAATTGGCATGACCCTGTAAAGTGTGACATATTAAAGAAGTGGATCAAAAAATGTGATGATGATTCAGAAACATCTAATTGGATTGCAGCAAACACTAAGGTGAACAAAATAAACCCTCAATTTTACATGTATTGGCCTTTTCCAGTGGTTAAAATGAAGTCTTTTCTTGTGACAGGAGTGCCCCAAATGTAATGTAACCATAGAAAAAGATGGGGGCTGCAATCATATGGTTTGCAAAAATCAAAATTGCAAGGCAGAGTTTTGTTGGGTGTGCTTAGGTCCATGGGAACCTCATGGGTCATCATGGTGAGACTTTCAAATTATTTGATCAAAATTTAGCCTTTTTGGTCTTTACTTGATTCCACTTAACCTTACCCTATTATTTCATCAGGTACAATTGTAATCGATATGATGAAGAAGAAGCCAAAGTTGCCAGAGATGCCCATGAACGATCTAGAGCTGCCCTGCAACGTTACCTGTTTTATTGTAATCGCTACATGAACCATATGCAATCCCTGAAATTTGAGAATAAACTTTATGCCTCAGTAAAAGAGAAGATGGAGGAAATGCAGCAACACAACATGTCTTGGATTGAGGTACGTTTACATTAATAATGAGTTCCTCATCTTGATTTTTCTTCTGACAGCAGGTGCATTCCTATTGTTTGCTACTCTTTGTTATTATCAACATTTCGGTGTATGGTGTCTTTTACAGGTGCAATTTTTGAGGAAGGCAGTGGATATTCTATGCCAATGCAGGCAAACACTAATGTACACCTATGTGTTTGCATATTACCTACGCAGAAGTAATCAATCAATTCTCTTTGAGGTATATCTTCTTTCCTATCTCACATATCTGTTAACTGCATGAGTTACCTGAAAGAACTAACAATGTGTGCAATCTTCCCTTTTAGGACAACCAAAGAGACTTAGAAAGTGCCACAGAAACATTGTCTGAATACCTGGAGCGGGAAATTACCTCAGGAAATTTAGCAGATATAAAGCAAAAAGTGCAGGATAAATACAGGTATGGATCTTCATTGTCCAAATTTGTCCACATAATTCTTCAAATTTATTGCTCAACTTTAAAACAACACGGTTTTGTTTTGTTTGTAGATACTGTGATAGTAGGCGGAAGGTGCTTCTGGAACATGTTCATGAAGGCTATGAGCGGGAATGGTGGGAGTACTTTGAATAGATCCACCTGAATTCATTCAATACCAATCCAATAGAGTGAGTAGATATTCTCACCTTGTTTCTCAACTTTCTCCTTCAGAAATCTTTGTTGAAATTAAATCAAGGTGAATAGGTACCTACATATGCCATGGATATGTATGTATATAGACTATATTTTTCCAGATTTCTTTTATTTTGTCCAGGACAACATGTTTTGATTTGTTGGTACATAGTAAATCAGTTATTCACAATATAGATAGAACCCAAGAGTTGTTAATTATTCACTATACCCTTTGGCTGGATGTTAACAAGAAAAAAAAGCATAAATTATAACTATCTTAAATTTAGGCTAGGGATGGCAAAAAGTGGTTTCAAAAAATATCAGTCTAGTAAAAATTTAATTTTGTGTAGATTTTGTGATTAATGGATATACTACCTCACAGGATCAATGGACAGGAACCTCACAATATACTTGTTTTGAAGATGGTAATTATGTCCATTAGCGTTAACTCAAGGTTAAAATATTTTTCTATCTTGTGAGAGCTGTTGTATTTATAGAAAATTTTGTGCAGTGAGATTTTGTAGGATGAAAGCCATCCCTCTCTTTTAGTTGTTAACAAACAAAAAATTACAACATTTCATGCTCTATACCCTTTTCCCCCATTAAAACTGCCATTTTTATCAAAAATGCTATGGAGCTGCACTACAATTACATGTATTAATTGTGCATGTATATGAAAGCAATAAGCGGCAAATGCCAACTTAAAAGTCTTCCTGTTGTCTGATCTGTTCGACTTTTGAATCTTATTTTGTAATAAGTGTTCTTGAATGGGGGACTGGGCTGTTGTTAAATGTTTTTTAAAAAAAGTGACTCTTTTAAGTCTGTTGTTTATTACTTTTATATATTCCTAAGGTCTGTTAAGATAGCATTGACATATTCACGTTATTTGCTTCTTAATCTTGTGCATAAAAGAAATAGTTGATTTCCTAATATTTCTCGCTGAGCGGGGAAACGTATACTGTGATTTGTATAAACTAGTTATCAGTATTGGTACTGTTGGATAAATGATCGGAAGAAAGGATTAGCTGTAGACTTGACTTGCATTGCAGTGAGACCACTAGTCATTCCCATCCAATCAAGCTGTGCACTGACATTTCAACTTTTAATTGCTTTTAGTTGTTTGTACTAATCATTTTGTCAACTCTTCAGAAAGAGTGCATAAAGGAACAGCATTTTGTGCCCATCTGGTGTTTAACTTAAATATGATTGTTTTGGCGAGCACAGCAATTCATTGTATTGAATGGTTGGTTTCATTGGTCATGTTGTGTTGCTTTAACCATGACTTGCTTTCGTTAATATGAAATAAAAAGAAAAGAACTAGTCCTTTCAATACTTACCCTTTCTTATTAATTTTCAACGATACTGAAGCTATTCGTTACCTTGCACTGATAATTTGCTCTTGGTAAAAAGAGTAATTACTATATGAAGCCCGTGATAGCTGGGACCAACATTTGGCCACACTGAAAAGTGGCTTACATATTTGGCCAAGGAATCGAATTGTTTTGCTTTAAAAAGTGTAATTTTATGCTTATGAAACTGTTCACGCTGCTTTGTAATATTTTTCATTGTACCGCAAACATCACAATTGGAGCCATTTTTCCAGCACTGACTCAGCAGCTTGTTCTTTTTTAAAGTAGATTTATTGGAACTTCCCCCTCATTTTAGTTCTTTCATCTTTTTTGATACATAAAAAAATTGCAAATGATACATAATTAATTGTGATTTGTAGAACATGTTTGAGTGCTCTGTAACATATGGTCAAATATATATATACGTACTGTAATCAATTTTGATTTTGTCTATTGCTTGCTTTATGTTACAACTCTAGAAGTTTTGTGCTTTTAGTGCAGTTTTATCAATCTACTGCAAGGAGGTTTTTAATTTCCCTGTCTTTCATAAACCCACCTTCTGGCAATTACTTTATCGCAACAATCTTGCCTTCTGCTTTAACTCTGTTAGGTGAAGAAAATATTTCACCTCATTACCAACTTATCAACTGATAGCTCTTTTATTGAAAAATGTAATGCAGAGTATGTGTACATATTTTCTTATTAAGGAAATATATGAGATTGAATGAGTGAATCAGTGTAATCTTCTTTACTCAGAAAAAAAAATCCTTTCCCTATTTATTTCATCTTGATAACTGGAATATAAGACGTTTAGAAGAATTTAACTGCGCTACACAATGATAGTTACCATTCACTGATGATGCAGTGTATTTCTGTTTGGAACATTAGCAGGAGGCATAGTAATACAAGCTAATTGTTAGTCATGAACCAGTTGCTGTCATATCTCATTTTATTCCCCCATTTGTTATGAAAAATAAATAAATACAAGTGGCTCAATAAGATCATGACACAATTATCTAAACGTCTATTCACTTTATCATTTATTTGTTTATTGTCTAGATATTTACATAGAGTGACAACGTCTTTACACTAAAAAGTAAACACATATTCGAATAAAGCTTAGGACTATAAAGTCTTTGAAAACAGTTTCGATTCAGTTGGTACTTCCAATTACATTTTAAAATGTCAAAATGGATATTAAAATCACAGGCTCAGATCAGCAATACAGTTTTAGGAACAACAAAAGCCCTCATCGGCCGTCATAACTAACGCTTTGTTATTCCCAGGGCGTCAAATAATGTTGTTTTACCTAATGAGAATACTAAGAACGCCATGGGGTACTTACTGGTGGAAAGCATTGTAAATAATGTACATGTAATTCTACTTAAAATGATTCACAAAGCCTAATCCAAAGAAAACTGGAGCACATTAATGACACCTTTCAAGTCAAAAATGAAGAGGGAATAAGGATTTTTTTTATGGCCAGTCGTCAACATATTGTGGATAGGGTTGTCAGGTTGTAGTTGTGGTTTGAAAAGAAGGGTCATGAGAGTGGCTCTCTCGTCGTATTTGGTAGGAACAGACAAAGGAGGCCACCGCCTGCGAAAAAACAACAACATTAAAACAAAAGTGTAAGCAGTCAGCTTATACCACTCGTAGAGGATATTTCATCAGTATACCTATGAGCAGGGCAGCCACGATGAATGTTGGGGCTGGACAATATACGTCCAGGAGGGTGGCTATCACGATGTTGCCTATGATTCCTCCCAGGCGTGCAGCCACCATGGACACAGCCACACCAGTCGCCCTGTTGGTACGCCAAAAGAAGGCAATTATACATCAGGATGGCGCGCAACCACCCTGCACGACCTGGCTGGGCGACGACGACTTACCGCAGGTGCGTGGGGAAGATCTCCGTGATGAGGCAGTCGAGCGCGGCGTTACCGCAGCTGATGACGGAGCTGAACACTGCGTTGACGATCAGGTTGTTCCGCTTGTTGTAGACGAAGAACATGCCGAAGGCACACAGCCCCGACGTGAACGTGCTGAACACTGCGCGGGGACGACGCACACAAAGTTAGAAAATGCATCTAGCGCAGTGCGTTGATCAATATCGAAATGGCCAGAGGTTTAAGACCCACCGAGGAAGAACTTCCGGCCGAGGTGGTCCATGCCGAGCACCGCGATGATGTTGGAGGGCACGGCAGACGCGACTGTGATGAGAGACTCCATGAACACGGAGCCTTGGATGGAGTCGTCGCACGCCGAGTTCGCAGAATGCGTTCCGTTGGTGACGACAAACCTCGTGACGTCGCACACGGAGGCCTCCCGGCCCGGGTGCGCCGTGCTAAACTCGTCGAAGCGGTGAAACAACTCCGGGAACCACATCATGAGACCGTAGTAGCCTATGTGGAAGGTGAAGTTGATGGTGATGGAGATGAGGGTGAAGCGGAGGATGGGCGGCATGAACAGCTGCTGCGAGTTGGCCACGATGTCGGAGAGCATGGACTTCCACCGCTCGGCCGTCGTGTACTTTAGTGATAGTTCCCGCTTTACAGGATCGAACGACTCGTCCATGATTAGCTCCTTTACCTGTAAACAGCACATTCAACGGTATCAAATAGTAGTCGTCGGTTCGAAACCAGTCGGCAGGGGATGGACCAGGCGCCAATGCGGCGCGTGGCCGTGGGCCGCAGGGTCGTGGTGGCGGACGGAAGGATCGAGAGAGCCGCGACCGGTAGGCAATCTGCTGGTGCGCGA